CAGACAGACAGACAGACAGACAGACAGACAGACAGACAGACAGACAGACAGACAGGCAGACAGAGTTGTCTCAGTCTCATAATTTCGTCCCCTTCAAGTCTCATTGTTTCGGACCTGGTCTCTCGCTCCCCACGGCCGATCTAATCCGACCTAATCCCTCACGGCATCGGCCTGTGGAGATAGCTGGAGCAAACACGCCGTTGTCGCCTGTCCAGCCGGGAGTTTGCCCGGCCATGGAGGAGCAGGGAGCGACTTGGACACATGTCTTAGACAGGCAAGGTGTGAAGTGTTCCCCCGTCTCCTCATGTTCACGGACAGGCGAGGCGAGATACACGTGTTGTTGAATGTCCGGCTCGCGAAAACTCTCTTTGCAGGGTACTTGTGGAGAGAGGCTTCCTAGCAGCAGCTGTGTAGAATAATAAAAGTTGTGCTTTGTGGTGTGGCGTCAAGAGACGGGCGAAATCATCGCAATACTCTTGAGCATTTTCACAGGGCGAGAGGCGTCCGATAGTTCACAGTCGGTTGAAATACAAATGATTAAACATTATCCTCCCTGTCCCAATAATATACCTATTGAAAGAGCTGCAGAGCTGGGCTACCATAGAAAAACTGCATCTCCCCTCGACGCTTAAAGGCATCAGAGGATGAAAAAGTAAGAGTAAAGTATCCTCTCTGTAGATCTGTGCGTGAGTTTGTCTTTTTGTAGGGGGGGGGGGTGTTTGATCCTGCTTTATATACCACTAACTGGGCCCCCTTTCGATGAAAGGAATGATCGGTGCCTTAACCACAACTGAAAGTAATTGGCCTACTATATTTACACTCTACTGGAATGGACCAATAAATCTTGAGAGATGCAAAAGATTAGAAGGTGTAGATCTATACTGTCAAAACAAAATGCGCCTAGCGAAATATCACTTCTGGCACTACCGCTGTGAAGGATCAGAAGGACAGTTATGCTGATTTATTTCGTTTCTCAGTGGAATAATTACAAAGGTCAAAGAAGGACGGGAACTTTTTGTCAAATATATATTTTTTATTAAGGAGATAATTAAACCAAAAATCTGGCTCCGTCATGGGGACCTATCTATCTTTTTGCAGATACTTGCCAACTTTTAACTCTGTAGCTGTCGTAGTTTTATGGGAAAAGTGACACCTATGTTTCCAAGTTGCCAAATATGTAATAGATGTATAGATTGATTCGCGATTGTACACTCCAGTATTTCAAAGGTGTGGAAACAGTGCGCACGGCTAATGAACGGGTGCCTCACTTGTTTACAATGCCGTCTTAGAAGACGGTCTTTCCCAAATTTAGATCTAAACGAAACTAATGAAAAACTGAAAATTAAGCCACACTGACCCCAGGCTCCTCAATAAAACTGTGCACCCTTTAAATGATTCTAAACCACGATTAAATTTGTAATTTAGAAAGTTAGGTGGTTCGGAAGTTTTAGGCGGCCAAAGTGACGAACTTTCACAAATATAATATATAGAGATTACATGTATTACACATATCATCCTCCTATTTGCAGCTATAGTGCTTGTGTCAATAAGGCTAGAAACATCGCAAGGGGTGACGACATGGCGAGTACAGTGTCTGCTCGTGAAGGCGTTTAGGACAAGTCCTTTTTGTGTCTTTCTATGACGTGTTAGACCCATTTTTAAAAAAAATAGTGTCGGCGTTTTTATGCCCTCAACGACACAATTTAGACATGTAGGAGGCGGGTCTCCGACCCTGCCTGACAGGGCCAACCCGGGGTTGGAGGGATGCAACATCCCAGCAAAAATAACGAAGTATAAGATAAAACTTTGTCTCTATTCGGGAATCGAACTCGGGTCTCCTGGATGCAACAACGAAACGCCTATCCGCTACACCACAGAAGCTGGTCCCATAGATTTGGGACGTTGAATTCCCCTCAGCCCTGATTAGCTGTGACGGGCAGGGTCAGAGCCTGCCTTCTAATTGGCCTAAATTGTGTCGAGGGGGGTATAAAGCACTTAAATTAAAATAAACTCTTCAAACACAATGCTTGAACAGGGCCAAAAACTTCGCACAACAAGCACCCTGTACTGTAAAGAGAGTTTTCGCGGGCCGTCCGTTCGGCGAGATGAAGAAATGCCGAGTATGTTGTTGACCAAAGCTTTGGCTGTCAACACGCCTCGTTGCTGTACATGGCACGGAGAATGTCTTTGTCGACAACAGTTTCACCCGGCTCTCGGCTGCTGGGGATGTTAAAAAAGAAGAGGGAAAGGCTGGTTGGGAAGGGGGGGAGTTGAATCTCTGTATTTTCGGAGAGATG